GATACACAATCGCACGAAATACATTCACTGAACAGGAGCAGCGCCGTCCTGGGCGCAAATGAATACTGCTAAATGGGAACGTAGCAACCATCCACAATTCACTACGGCTGTGTTCACATTTCGCAATTGATGGTGAGTAGATTCGACGATTCTGGAGACTCGGCGATTTGAGAGCAAGGAAAGTTTAGTATCGATCTGGCGAGGGGTGAGAGTCGGCGATCCGGCATCGTAGAAGAGTTGGCATTCCAGGCGAGTGCTAACCAAGGGATAGAATGGCTATCAACCGGCGTCAGATCTCTGAATCCCCAACTCGCGAGCGACCGGTGCCGGACCACCGAAACTTCGCAATCGCTGGCTACCGGCTCTAATCGATTTAATTTACTTCTATGACGCTCAATCTCCCAAAACGCCGGATGACCTTTCAATGGTGAACGACCTGTGCCGATGGATAGCCATCCACTTCTTTGGCTCTCAATCTCCCAAAATGCTGAGCCACTTATTCTTCCAAATCGCTAGATCGATACCTACATTTTCCTCGTCACGTAACCTTTCGAATCGCCGAGCCGAGTAGATATATTTCCCTAGTCGCTAAGTATTATGGCCTGAGAAGTTCTATGACTTTGCCGTCGAAAGACTAAGAAGCAACTTCAAAGCCGAACAAGTTCATAACGAAGTAAAGAACTCGGCAGTTGAAAGCGACCACTCCTACCTCTTTCAGCATCTTTTTTCTGCTCTCTTTCTCTGAACATAGCCAACTGTAGTTTGAGAGTTTCAATATCATCATTGGCGTACCCCATTAACGTTTCAGCGTTTGCAGCACGAGCCTGAATCAAGGCAAAAAAGGAAAATAGCATGTGTCATATCCACCACTCTCGAAACAAGCAGTACAAACGAGCCTTCCACAAGCGCACATTGTACATTCATACCTTAGGTCACGGATCCAACTACCAGTCATATCTTACTCTTACCCTATCCCTCCGAACTACTTTGCCGCCGTCTAACTTAAACGACTTGTCAGCGTGTACCACTGAGCTTTTTTATGATCAGAGAAAACCAGGATACCATTGACCACCTTCATCAATAACCACTCCGTGTCCAGGGAGCATTTAGACACCTAGCACCTTCGTTTATTTTTTCAACAAGTGCGAATAAAATATTGCCGACGCCAGTTTTCATGATCGACAACTTGTCGCAGCGTTTGTCTATGAGCTTCCACTGTCTAGAGCACTGAAATCGGCTGTAGGTCTTGCGAATAAGACGATTTAACCCCGGTCTCAGTAGTGTTTCTGTCAGGGCACAGCAGAGTAATGCGGTTACTCGAAGCCTGACACTGCAACGAGCAATGGTGGCCTTCTTGCAGTAGTATGGTATTACCCAGTTGTCAAGCTGATTGTCGAGGAACAGGCAACATACACCGACAGTGACGGTTTTGTTCTCGTGCGAGCCGCTTGAAAGCCTCAATGCGGGAGTCTATTGCCATAATGGCTTGGGCCCGCGTAACATATGATGCTGGAATTCGGGCGACCTCTCATCTGCAGTCATACAAAATTGCCGCTTTTTCGTCTAGTCGCCTTTACAGGAAATTGAGGTACGAAACACATACCCTCTTCTCCATCCACGATTTTTCGGACGTAACTCAGGCAACGGTTGCTGCATTAATGTCACTCTCGCGAGAATGCTCGAGAACGGTCCTCTCTCTGTGATCAGACATTCGGCGCTTACCTTTATCCACCCACTTTAGGCTGCGTTTATACTTTGCGGCAGCGTAGCGTAGCGCTTCCAGCGTACGCCAGCGGCAGTGCCGAAGAGAGGATGCATATCGATCTAGCTTCACCAGCGTCACCAGCGGCACGACGCCAGCGTTTCTCCAGCGTTTTGCTAGCGTTTGCAGCGACAGGGGAGTAGAGACTATGGGAGAGCTGGAGGGTACAAAACACCTCGATTGCGCGTCTCTCACTCGCCCTTAGTCCCTACAATGCACATCGCTTCTGCGTCTCCGACGGCCACATAGTCTCTACAATGCACATCGCTTCTGCGTTCTTCGCACGGCCTATGGTCTCTACAATACACGTCGGATTGCCGCGTCTCTCACGGCCACATGTCTCCTACCCCCTGGCCGCTGCAAGCGCTAGCAAAACGCTGGTGCGCCTGGAGAAACGCTCGAGAAACGGTGGTAAAGCTAAATCGATAGTATGGTTCCCGTTGCCCTCGCTACGCCAGCCGTGCGCTAGCGTGCCGCTGGCGTACGCTAGCGTGCGCTAGGCGCACGCTAGCGTTGCGCTGGTGAAGCTAGATCGATATTGACATCCTCTCTCTCATCACTGCCGCTGGTACGCTGGAAGCGCTACGCTACGCTGCCGCAACAGTTATAAACGCAGCCTTACTTGTGAGGGATGACCACCATGGAGCCCTCCCTTGCCACAACGTGTTTTCGCTCAGCCTTCTTTGGATTTTTGAACCATCTCTTCCCATTCCATTTGGAGAACACCGTTATGTACAAGTAGTCCGGCTCGGAACTAATTTGAGCAGCGCTTTTCCCTTCCCGATTCCATAATCAGCGTTGATTTTGACCACTCGGGTTTCTTTTCAATTTCTCGAGCGGTTGCGGCTTCTGCGGCTAGGTTAGCCAATTTCACGGATGTGAAGCTAATGGAACCAGCTTTTGAACGATATAGTAGTCTGCAGCCCTAGCCCCTTTGTTACCCTGCTATTCCTTTCTGTCTCCATTTTTGAATGAGATGACCTAACATGATATTACCGATCACCTACGAACAAAAGAAAAATAGAAAAATCCAAAAAACCCACTGCCAGAGAAGCATTCTCGTCAAAAATTTTGTCCCTCTCAACACGCAGTTTGTCGCGCTCTTGTCGCAAGGATTCCATCTCTAATCTACAAGCAACCATTAAACTTAGTACAAGCCACTTTCCAGAGAGAATCGGCAACGAACTCACTTCAGAGATTTGAACGAGCTCCTCAGTAGCGCATCTATACCGTTCGTTTTTATGGCTCTATCGATGAGATCTCCTCTAGCGCTCGCCAGTCGTTCATCCAGTGTTTGAACCCTTCCTCTCAACTCCACCAATTCTGCTGACAACTGCTGACATCGACATTTCTGGGATCCCTTAATCAGTCACTTTTTACGCTGTTGTGTCAAAAGGAATTAAGTATCACTATAATATAGGCCACTAATTCGGGGTGTCAGTTTGCCCTCTGGTACCTCCTCCCCGGCCCCATCCCCATCTTACCTTCCATGTTCCTAGACTTTCCCCAACTTTCCGTCATTTTTTCGAACTTTGTCCTTCAAAAATTTATTCACCTTTCTCCCAAGATGCGAAACCAGCACTTTGTAAAGCTAATACTTACAGTTTTTGGAAGACCTTCGAACTATTGTAAAGCTGAAAAACAACCATAACAGTTCATACCATAATGCAGCTTCACCAGTGTTCGCAGGTCACACCACGATGAGAAAACTCACGAAACTAGCAAACTAACGAAACGCTTCCCCAAGTTGAACAGCGTCCATTAGTAATGCACTCACTTCTCCTCTTCCTCGTCGCAAAGCCAGTAGGCGAGCCTCGTCAAGTTCATTCGCCAGCTGACAATTCTCTTTACGAAGCGTATTATATTTGCAGTAAAGTAGTTTCAAATCAGCTTCGAGTCGGACGCGCTCTTCCGCGAACTCAAAGGAAAATTTTTGCGGTTACTGTCATGATAAAGATATGGAGGTGGAAAAAACTCACTTCCGCAAACATGGAGTTACCTCTGTTCGCAACTTTAGCGTTAGTTCGGGATACTACAAGTTCGGCTTCAAGCTCATGCAATTGCTCGCGCAGCTCCTGAAATGAAAGCACAGTGCATTAACTGAACATTCGGCCTTACTGAACTATTCTACCCCAGTCCCCCCGAAACCAGGCCAATTTTTCGCCGAATTTTTTTCTTTACAGGTCTATTTGGCTGAAAATTTGTTTCCAAGGGTGGTTTGACTTCCTGAACCCGATTATCACATCACATTGGACTTCGTATGGAGGAAAGGGAACACACACAATAGCGCAGCTTGCTGCGTTTGTCTGCCCGCTTCTTACGGGATAGTGACTCTTTCTTCTGCTAAGGCTGAGCCAGGCCTGAAGGGACCCAATTCTTATTCCATGCCCAATCTTTCCAAAGGAATAATTGGCGCCGGCGCCTAAATGTGATATACCTGATCAAGACGTCAATTAACCCCCGCGCACCAGTTTTCATTGATTTTGTTGAAAAGGTGGTGGCGCCAAATTGACGCCAGCTTTAAAAACCGATCAAGGTTTCGAATTACCCCTAGTGTTGAAGTTCTGGGAAAAAAAATAAGTTTTTGGAGCGGAAATAGTCCATAATGTCAAATTTTCCCAGTGCATTTGAAATTCTCTTCAAGTAAAAACGATTTTGGTTTATGTTACCACATTTTTGAAGAGCCTTCTTTGCAGTGCTGATGGTACTAGACTGCCCCATGGGTTGATGGTAGCGTCCATCTAATTGCCTAAGATATGAACGGATAAGAGATGAAGAGAAATAACTCTTTTCGGGATGCGCCACGCACTCTACTTCCACTACATTCAAAATCGTCAACGGTTCTGATGTTGAGAGTGCACTATCTGAACACTATACAGATCCAATATGCTGGAAAAATATAGGGCACCGCAGCTATGTCCTGAGACTGAATTTAAAAAATACCTTATTATGCCGAGCCATGTCACGAGCTTCCAATGACGCAGCCTCTGCTCGTTCAGCGTAGTCGTTTCTCTCCGTTTCCAACGCTGCAATACGGTGCATAGCTTTCTGCAACTCGAACACGGCATCGTCCTTCTCCTCTTGAAGTCGCTCCTGAAATGCACTAAATGCGATGGCAAATCAAAATTACACATAGCTGTGAATCTCAAAACGTTGAAAAAATGGATACAGATTAAGTTCTCTCGGGCAGATGCTACTTATTGCTAGACCCTGGACGCCTGGTTACAATTATATCTACCCAGGTTGCTATATGAATCTTGAACGAGTTAGAGGCGACCAAATTCTCCGATTTCGTTGACAACTTGAACCCAGGTACCTGACCCAGAAGCCGAGCATTTGCGGAGCGGAACCCAAATGAAGAATACAATTTTCGTGTCCAAAAAGTCAGACCATTCTCAAGACAAGTTCTCAGCCAAATCAAGATACCAAAAATTTCTTTATCTGCCGCAATGGGCCACTGCAAACTTTCGACGTCAAGAACGCGGTCACGATAAATAAGTAGGAATTCCAGCTTTTTATTCGTAATCAACATGCCAATACTCGTAGTATCCATTCAAAGTTCCACGGGATGTTGAAATCATCTCCTGATAAGATAGCAACTATAGGAATGGGAATGTTATTGATTCACGACTAAGAAAGGTCTCCATGTATTGCTTTCCACAAATATCGACTGCAAGATACTCCAGCTTTAACTGCTCCACAGATTGATAAATGCATTGATGGTCTATGTTTTGGTTAATCATCATTGACGGCCGAAGTTTCGGCTGGAGCGAATTTTTTAGAGCCCGAAAAGATCGAAACAGTTCATGATTACTCGACCATGCAGTCAACTTGAGGTGATATCGATGAGTAGACTGGCTATCTCCAATTTCTGTAGGGTGGTGAGAAGTCTGGCTGAATTGTCATAAATACTTCGATCCTCTCAGGATGTGAAGGAGGTGGTCCAGCCGTAAGGTGGGTCAATAAGGCATACACCTACCCCGTGTGGACAGAAGCTGAACACCTACCAACTTAGGGGAGACGGTCAAGACAGTCTTAACATTCCGCTAAGACATGCGCGACAATGGGAGTGGCGTTTTCTTGAAACGCATGAAGCTGTCGACTGAACCGACGGTTTCACGTAGACAACGACATCGTAGACATTTGCAGCGATTTTTGATTACATGTTGTCTATAATCGCCACCCACGACCCAAAAAACAGCCAATTGTAGGCGCTACGTCGCCGAACAGCGGAGCGAATTCGAGAAAATTTACGAAAAGAAAGGCATACACGTTGATGGGGACAATCCGACATTTGGGAGATTCAGCACATATCGATTATCATTGAACTTTTGTCGTCGATTCTCAATAGCAGATTGTCAAGAATGGCACAGTGCTTCTTGCAACGCATTCCCCCTAACAGCTGACACAACCAGAAAGAATGAGCGAAAAAAAAGAAGAAAAAAAGAACGAAGAAGTGAGTGAAAAAGTAACAGCATATCCCGTACAACAAGAGTACAGGTGCTTCTTAGCGAGAACAGCAACATTCGGCATTCCTCGGTACAACACAGCAGTTGACCGACCTCTCAAGGAAGAAACCTTGAGATTCTGAGAATAACTTTGATCTCTATGATGTTTAGCATGGCAATAGGACGTTCCCCAGAGTTACCGTTCAGTTTGAAAATGGCAAAAAAAACTCGAAAAAAATTGTACAAAATAATTCGCTGATAAATTCGACCACTATGCAAATGAAAGCTTTGTTTTTCGAACGTCTACGGGAATTTCCCAAGTAGTTTGTATTTTCCCACGAAAGAGCTGATGGTTTCCGTGTGCCCATAGCCGTTGCTTGGAGAATTTCGACACCTTTAACTATATCATCTGCTTCTTACATTCTATTGGATTATGCGACTGCGTATATCATCTTTAAAGTTGATTGTAAAAAACCTACCAAATCTGCGCTGCTGCTAGGTTCCTGTATCACTGAATCTTCGCAAACTGGACGAGACTCAGCTCTTCGTAACTCGCTGATTTCTGCATTAGCTGAATTCAACGATGTGGTCAACACTTCTATCTGGGCTGCCAATCGATAAGAATCTGAGATTTTCTCTTCAATCTAAAAATTGGTAACTATACTGGCAATAAAGACCTCTCCACAAACAATGATACCGTTGTTTCCAGAATGACAATTTTCTGCTGTAAAGCTGAAATTTTAGATTCGTCCGAATGATCCTGCTTCATGTGGTTTCGCAGCTGAATATTTTCTTCTTCTAATTCGTTCAATATTTCATCCCTGCTGGATAGTTTGGTGTTAAGACGTTGCACCTCCTTGAAATACAAAGGGGATAGTAGCTGACCAGTTATCACCAAAATCGGTAAATTAATACTGTAATTTTTTCTAAACACACGCAGGACAACACTGCACGCTCCATTCTGATACTGATCCTAATAGGAAACTGACTTGTTTGAGCTGGTTGTTTTCATCGTCCAATTCGATAAGTTTTTCCCGTACAACAGCAGGCAGCTCCATTGAAAAGTAAGTCTGAACTATCACACTTTTATGAACGAAATAGCTCCCTTCGAGAAACTCCTTCACAAGAGAAACCAAACCATGGAAACATAAAAAAATGAGAATATAAGCACATGCTTGAACGAAAAGTTTTCCTTTGTTGATTCGCAATAATGCAGAAGTATTTAAATTTTCGCGCCAAATTTACAGCGGCGCGAAACTGCACGCTACGAACTTGTTGCACTACTAGTCGGAGCCACGGCACCAGGGTACATCGTTGTTGGGGAATCCCCAATAGGGGAGGTCATGTTTTGCCGCCAGGAGAGCGGGGGTCGTATTTAGGCCGGAAAAAATTCATTTTGATAGTTGATTTTTCTCGCTTCACGGGCGTTGTAAAGGGGGAGGGGAGGGCTTCGTACTTGGTCATTGTTGGGAGGGAGGGGGTCGTATTTACGTTTTGGCGTTGTGAAACGGGTGATTGACTTCTGGTGATTTTCCTGTTTCATGCATACTACATGCCCCACTCCCCTCGCTCTCCCACTAGACGGTTCGATTCGATGAGGAGGAACAGAGGGGAGGTTTCGTCAGGGTACAGCCTCGTTGTGTCAAACCCATGGGGGGGGGTCGTACCTGGCCGATGGAGAGGGGGGGGGGTCGTAATCTCAAGAGTCACTCAGAGCGAGCAAGTGGTTCGACATTTCAGTTGATAGTGGGAGTGGAGCTATGGAAGTCAAGATGTTTAAAAAAAAATGAAGTTTATTATGAGTGTATTCTTTACAGCTTTAAATGCTACGTTCAACAGCCTCTTTCATGGAAATCCCAAGATGGTTCGTACTTGCCGCGGGGACGTGGGGAGTATCGCAAAAGTAGGCTCGCTAGGCATCAAACAGTACAAAGGTGTCATTGCTAAGGGTAATGGAACGGACGGAAAGCTTCAGAAAACCCGGATGTAAATAGAATACAAAATAATAAAAGATTTATTAGCAATATAGCAAGAATAAATAAATAAATAAGTGTCAGTTTATAGCATGAACTCGTAAGCACGTAGATGACTAAATAATACGTCTCAAACAGATTCGTGCGTGTTGTCCTTCACAAACCCTAAACAAACATATGCTTGCATGGATAAAAGCACCTGAAATCAGACTTTACACCTTTCCACCACCTCTGCGTAGAGCCTAATGCACGCGCGGCGGACCAAATCGATCAGAGATAGCCGAGCTTCTCTTACACTCATTTGAAGGGAAATATGTGTTTTGAAGGCACACTGAAGTTTCCGAAGGTGTATTCTCACAATGGCACATAAGGAGTCAATTTTCGGGTGGTCAGAGGGTGGCGCATCTGTGACCCGTCTAAAATATCTCCTGAACTAGTGGGTCTTCAGAAAAACTGTAAAGCTTATTGGAAAGAGAAAAGATGGAGGGGTTTCAAGACGACTTCAGTCCTGATAAAATTGGCGTTTGAACGAAGCACTCCTTGTGTTAATCATGGAAACCAGCTCGCGATTTACCCCTGGCCGAACCGTGACCCCATCCGGAATATTTACACCAACGGGATTGTTCAGTTTGCAGCTAGGTAGAATACACAATAGTAGAAACTTTGCCGTTGCATGCTGCTCACCATTCCTCAAAAGCTCCGCACCTAAAGAAGATATAGCCCCCCGAACAGACCCCAGGACGTTGGCAAGTCAACAAACGCGCTCCTATGACGTTTTTTCAAAGAAAGCGGTCGCAGCCTTGCGCCCCTGCAGCCTGGTCGATAATAGCCAAGTATGGAACGATTACGGCCTGGTTATCCTTTTTTCAATTAGCTCTGCATTTTGTGTTTCCCATGTTTCGCTTTGTTGTGTCGTTCATGTTTTCATTATTTCCCCGTCACCATTCATTGAATGCACATCTGGGCCCTGACACGCTCACCTTGGGGCTATTTTTTTTCACCAATTCAGCCTATCAATGATCACCATTAGCCGCTATTTCAATTGTGTTCCTTGTTACAAGTTGCATGTCATACATAGTTATCGAACGAGGAGTTTTATTTTGAATCCTAAGACAAAATTGTAGGTAATGCGAGGCTGCTGTTCAGCCTCATATTGCATGAGGCTGAAACAGCTTTTATTTCTATATTTTGGAGCAGAGTGCGCCTTTCGAGAATCCAGATTCCATTTCAGGAAGCCATTTGTGGTGAACATGCATCTGGTTGCCAGTTAGAGCAGGAGGGGGGGGGGAGGGGGGGTCGTATCTGGACCCTCTTTGAGAGGGGGAGGTCGTACCCACACCGCCAATTGACACATCCCCATGCTGTACCCTGGGTGTCGTACCAACCCCCAGAAAAAAAAGGGGGGGGCTTACATACTCGACAAAAATCCACAACCAATGATGTGCCGTGACGGCACACCATGCGTTGGGACATCGCTCGTTTCCGTACGACCCCCACCTTCTTTTTTTTTACGATTTGTTGTTTTTCCGACTTTCTAGTTGCGATGAAAAAGCATTTTTTTCAAGCAATCTTCCGTATCACACTTGGAACAAAGAAATGCTAGGAATTTGCCGTGGCTTCTTAGCACCTTCCAGTGGTGAACACCATGTAGCTAAAGAAATTGTGCAACATGAACACGCCGTAGGTTTACATGGTCTGATCTACAGTCAGGTCACGCGATATTTTAGTGATAAATTTCTGCTAAATACTACACGCCCCTGAAAGCTGGTCTCGCTGCGAACCCTCTCCTCCCAATAAAAAGATTTTTTGAAAAAAGATGATATCATAGGATAATTGAATCAGTTGTTCACGTACAATCAGAGATTGCGCGCAAGCATCCAGAACTTTATTCACTGTTACACTAGAGTGAGCTAGTTGGCGACGTGTGTTGTAAAATAAGTAGCGAGCTCCAAAAGTACCAAGCAGAGTTTTTAAGTAGTAAATATTTTAGTAAAGTAAAGTTCCTTTTCAGTTAATTATCGTTTTCTTGAGAACAGAGCTCCTAGAGAGAGAAAAGCAGAGTTGTGAAGCTCTAGGCTTTCAGTTTGTTGAGTGTAATGCACATTCAAACTCCTCACTTTTGAGGAACTTTCCCCGTCGTGACGTTTTTGTTACATTTTGGTGTTTTCCTACAGCTTACTTGTTTTGAACAGCCATAACTTTCTTCACATGTGATCTCTTTACAGTGCCAAAATTTAGCTTTTTTCTCATTCCCACCATTCCAAAATATCCCGGTTGTGATTTTGTCGTGCCTGTGGGGACAACGCGGAAAATTCAAATCTCCCGTGCAGTACTCAGGGGTGTTGAAGACTTGAGAAATATCTGGAACACATATTTTCGTCGGGATTTTGAGGAAATAGTTTATTGGTCGCGTATCGCATCCCCTCTGTATCTGCCATGCATACGACTCTTACGCAAAGGAGTTGTGAAGGTCTAGCTGCCGGGTAAGACTTTTCCGTGCAAGCAGAAGTGCTCCTACGGTCTAGAAGGACCAAGTGTGTACTGTATTTCGTTTGCTTATTAAATCATTACATTGTCGTGTGTGTCTAACGCGTTTCTTGTCATTGACGTTCTCCACTGCTGAATTTGCCACTTGTATCTGTCTTCAGGTGTTTCGCATAGCAAGAACCAGGAATAAATTTTATCGATAAGTGACTGCGGGACTTCTCTATATCGCTGCTCTTTCCACTACTGAACACTGCTCTTACGACCGCCTTTCGTGTCGTATCCTCGTTGCGAAGGCAATAGGAGCCAATCGTCGCATGCCACCTGCCGTCCAGCGTTTCATAACCGGCGGCGGAAAGTATTGAAGCTGCTCCCAGCCGGCAGCCAATGGAATGGACTGGGGTCATCTCTCAACTCACGCTAGCAGTTGTCGTCTCAAGCCTCGGCTGGGCTCCGCCGGCCTCCTCTCCTCCCCCTTTCCCCTTTGTATCGTATCTTTATTATAAATATTCAATAACCAAGTTGAATGTTTCTACGTAGAACACGCCCCATCGGATGAAGGTCTGCGCACCCCTTCAATCCGACCTGGCGGTTCCGGGGAACCATTTTCTTCTAGTAACTTCACGTTGGTACCAAAACTCTCAGGATTTCTTTTGGCTTCAATCCCCTCCCCTCCATTCCCAAATACTGAAACCGTCTACCAGCTGTCAACAACTTTAGCAAATAACGACGAACAAAAGGACATATACGTGAGTATTTTATAAAAATTTTTATAAAAACTGCCTGAACGTCTAGGTAACGAAGAAAAGGAAAACGGCTGTCAACTTGAAACCGACTCCAGCCGCAAAACTCACAGTAGGACATCATTAATGTATCTTTATCCAAATTAATACCAAATATCAATGCATTGATAGATAATGCAAGGTCTTGGCGACGATTTCCTCTTTTTTTCTCTCGACCTCTCATTTACTAAAGTTTGAATTGGCCAAAAAGGTGAGTCTGACTGTGTCGGGGAACCGGATTTGATTGGGAAACTTCTTTTTTCTTTGAATTTATTTTTCAATGTATCTAATTTTAGGAGAATCAGGCGGCTTGGGACCAAGTGTTCCGTATGGCTCTAGGCCTGGGCTGGAATCGCCCAGCCAACGCGAGCTCAGAGCCGCGATACAGAACGAGCTCCAGACTCCGGAGAGCCCCCAATTGTACAGCCCGCAGAGCTCTCCGCAGAGCCCGCGGTGGTCCCCCAGCCGTCATGGCTAAGGGGGGGGGGGAGGGGCAGCCTCCAAGGAGGGCCAACCTCCGTATTGATGTTTTTGTCTTTTTTTCAAGAAAAAAGATTGCTCCAAAAGTGTATTTTTTTCTATGTGTTCGTCCTACCGTCTAGCCATCTATCAATCCCTACTTGAAAAAATTGTTGGGAGAGGAACAAAAACCTGTATATTGTCTATGATCTCTCTTTAGTGAAGAAAATATGCAGCAACAAGAGGTGAGCAGCCCCGCCTTGGGAATGATGTTGAGTGTTCAGGAGGAAATGGTGAGTGGTTCTCAGTATTTTTTTGTTTCATTGGTGTGTTATTTTTACTCGAAAAAACTCACCGGAGGCTCCTCGATATCTTCAATGGAATCGTCTATAAGCACCCTTCTCAGCCGACACTCCATACCAGGATATCGCTGTTGTACACCATTTTGAAGATTCTGAAATCAAAGTACATTATACTTTGCAATTCCCAGCGACCTCCAGAATAGACACGAAACTTGAGTAGAGAGAGACGAATAGGATAGAAGATAAAAAACTCCCTAGGAAACAACTACCCAAGAACTACGAAGGATCGATGAATGGTAAGTCTACATTATATTTACTATTCGGCAACCCCTACCCTAATCTTGTGCGAGCACAACACCTAGGTCATGTCAGCCGCCTCACTAAATCCTAATCCAGTCTGATTATGCAAACATACTGCTGGCCGACAGGACGTAATAGGATATTGGGAAGAAAAATTCAATTTTCTATCAAGAAATAATAATGTAGTCACCTTATAACCTAATAATCACATGCCAGATTTTCAACCAAGGTCTTGTGCGTGGCGCATTCAGCTCCTTTTATAAGAACAACGTGAACAACCTACAACCTAGTAATTATTGACACAATTCCGAACCAGATTCACATGCATGGTCTCCAGGTCTACCACCCTGTACACTCAATCAGGTGTTATCCATCAACTCGAGTAAACCAAATTCATACTTTCCCACCATAAGTTCAACTGTCAGAGGTGTGCAGGGACACGGCACATCATAGAAGTACCACTAAAATACTATTTAGCAATCACCTTCAATATTTTCTTCTGTAAAGTGACTGAATTTCAGCCTAAACGACGACACTACCCCGAAAACGGGCCGCCGCGGGCCATTCGCACCATCAGCACCTCCGGCGAGCATGTCGACTCTTCTCTTGGACTCAAGCAGCCGCGATCGCTCAAACGTCTCCAATCTGATCCACTTCACTGAACGTCTTAACAACGCTTCGTGCCACCAAAAAGGAACCACAGTTCATTGAATCCCTTCAATTTCAAAAAAAAACTTTTGAAAGCCCAAAACCCCTCATATAGTCACCCATAATCCCAAACCAAAGCGTCTAGGACCTTAGGCTCTTACGACGCTCATTTTCCGATTCTATAACCACTTTAGACAACAGACGCCTACCAATTTTCCATCAGAAGGAGGAAATCTTCTAAACAACGAGCACGAGTTCGCCCTCCAACTTCGCCCAACAAGAAACAGCCGAAATACAGGTACAGCACACAAAGCTGCTTCTCACACCTCAAACAGCTGAACTTCAATCACAATCAAGCCGATCGAAAGTCCGCACCGCCTCAATCAAGCCCTACCGGCACCTCTCCCAGATCTCATTCAGAGATCTTCAGGTATTTGTCGTCTCAACATCGTGAAGCGCATTCAGACTCTCCCGCATCTACAACAAAACCTTACCGCCATCGAGATACAGTATCCCGCCGAGCCAATCACAGCCCAACAGCCTGACATCAATATGGTGGGGACGGTTTACCAACCGTCTAGACACTGCGTTCGACAAGCTAAGGACAAGTCGAAAGTAATATTAGACGCATATCGCAACAGTCAGCTAACCGAGGAGCGCAAATTTATCCAATCCATGGTTTTCACGAATGCTCTCTGCAATCCAATAAAACAACGACTAAAACTGTTAGGACCTCTACCCAACAACTTATGAGAAACTGGTACACGATGAAGAGAGATTGTGGAACTTCACCAAATAAGGCACTGATTTCTTGGAAGTGTGTTGATCGCAAAATTAGATAGAGTTTTAGACCAACTCTCCACTACAGACAATCTCTCAAATCCTGGGTCACCATATCCACGCAAACAAACCTTTCCAAAACCAATTACCCCCAAGTCTTCTAAGTTTAACAACATTCCAGCATCAAATAACTTCAAGTGTCAGCCAAAAAGACGGTTCCAAACTTACAGGATAAGAGACGACTTTCGATCGCGCTCGCGGTCACCGCATCGCAGCGTGAAATTTACTCCTAATTACAAATCAAACCGTCCTAGAGACCAAACACGTTCCTTACATAGACAAGGCAATAGCACTTACCACACCTTTCAGAGAGAGTCAAAGACGCCCAAACTCACCATCCCGCCACCTAATTAACAGCGTAACTCCAAACTTTTCTACAAGACTTCTGAAACCAATAACGTCACACTTCATACTGGCCATAATTAGTTCACTAATAACTCCAGTATCAGTTTACTCCCTCCAATATCAGTTTTGTGCATCAGGTATGTCGGGTGGGCCAGTTGCCTATCCTGACCCAATACAATGCACAGCTCTCCCAATATCTCCAATGTCTTACTTACATCAGCTATTCTTCAGGTAAAAAGAACAGAACCCCTTCCCATACCAGCATTCCACTGCTTTAATGAACTCGGAAAATTTTTGCTTCATCCTATCTACATATACATTTCTCCGCCAACAGCGATGAAGAGTTTATGACTCATGTTGAACCCACTCTATTCAAGATCCTAACAACAACAACAAAGAAACACATGAAAGTTCCCTCGGAACAAATAGCGCCTAATGTATACGAATACGGAAAACCAAATCCATCATTCATACCTGTGGTTTTTTGGAGAAAAGTGTACAGTCACTACAAATTTATATTGTGAACAGGGAGACATACTTTCGATGGAAACGACCCAATAGGTCAATTTGGGGACACGGCACGTTGCAATCGGTGTATGGTAAAATCGGTGTATTTTTACTCACGGCACTGTCATATGGAGCCGACCACCAACGGAAACTCCTTTATGCCGTTAAACGGAAGCACTTGAAGGAGCCGCCCATGTAACACCCAGTCATGTTGTAATAAATAGCATACAATCAGCTTTTACTTACAAAAATATAACACACCCACCTTCCAGATAAAACCTGGTGTATGGAAAAGTACGCGATCCCAATGGACAACGAAATATTTGTAGTTTCACCAGAAATTACTGCATACGATCCGCGCACTCTGTTCACGGAACATCCAGACCTAGTGAACTCCATCAACAATAAGCGTTTCTACAACTCATAAATCTTCCAATTTATGGATGTGATTACTAAAACCACCCAAACTTATCGAAGTTCTGTGGACGATCCCTTGAGAGACATGCCATTTGCAGCCACGTCAAAACGTAGTCTCAACGAAACTCTTTTGGCAAACTCCACTCATACCAAACAATTCCAAAACTTGGCATTTCGTAGCAAATTTTCCACTCTATAGGGAACAAAACTTTAGATAAAAAGCCGGTCACATTTGGGTAAGCCCTCAATAATTACAAAGCTCTAAGTTCTATAGTACAAGGCCCTAAAACCCCAATAACGGAAGTTCCAAAAGGCACCCTCAACAAAATCAAACCCAGTGTTTCCGCGAAAATTGCTTACCATATAGCCCTGAATTCAGAACCAGACTTACAGTTCTTAACAGCGACCTTACAATAGCCCATGAACAGCGCCAAGATAATCGCCACGCACTGAGTACCTAGATGCAGTTCATGAAAATTAAAATGGAAGATATTATCAGGCAAGATTCAAACTTTTTCTTAGATCGCATTTCTTCACTAATGAAGTTCAAGATCCAAGCTATAAAGAGTATAGCTCAACTAAACCCAACAAGTGCCGCTCGAATTCTACTCAACCGCTCGAATTCTATTCAATCGAGAAGATGTATTTGCTTTAGCAACAGGAGACCCACTAATGGTATCAGAGTGTAAAGACATTGTGATCAACGAAATCATTTCCGACCACAATAGGTGGAACATGTTTCCTCTACACACCCGTTAGATCAGGGGAAGCTTATTACTTCATCCAACCTGGCACACGTGACATAGTAGTCTCTACTGCAAATGCCGAATAAGGACATTCACCCTTCGGAGTACACAATGACGGAAACAACCACTGCTAATCCCCCTCTGGATATGCTCATGTATCCAACATCCACTTGCATTTAACCAATGGCATGGCACGTCAGGATTTTGTTTTTGAAGCTCCACCTATATTTCACGCGGATTTAGCCAAGATTACCACAATATCCATCTCATTCAAAATCACCTTAACTTCATTGATAGTACCTACGTAACACCATAAAAATCATCAGCAGACTCACTCGGATCAGTATCGTAAAAACTCGAGAACAAAGTCGTTAATTCAGCTAAATATTTAGAATCTAACGCGGCTCATTTCCTCCAATCACAAAAAGACGGAATCATTGAGTCATTCTGTTTACATAAACTAGTTGAAACTATCACTATTTTATCACTCTTTTTCCTAGGTGTCATCTTCATCATAATCCTATATTTTCAATCTTCGCTCGTTCGATTCCTTTTCAAAATGCTTTCTGGTGTGTATAGGTGCAGACAATTACCTTCACTGTTGACAAACCTAAAAATGCCTCTTCGGCTCTCAAACCAGCTCCTCATAAAGGAACCTTGCCAACATTTCCGATCTTGTAAACGGCACCTTCTGTTCAAACAGTGCCAATCCAATTGTCCCAAGTCATCGCACGACTTCCTCTAATGTTGTACCATCTCGTGTGGATGAATCATGTTGATTTATTACATCGCTAACAGTGAACAGATGCTCCTCTCATTTCATCAGCACTTCACTCGTATACATATTCTCAATAGTCAGTATGTATCCTATTATATGTTCATGTACTTGCGAGAACTTCGAACTCAACATGATGGAAGCTCAAAGCTAGAGGACGAGCTTACCGTAAGCAGTAGAAAAGTCGTATCCTCGTTGTGAAGGCAGGAAAAGCCAATCGTAGCATCCTCCTGCCGTCCTGCGTTTTGTAACCGGCGGCGGAGAGTAGCTCCTGTCAACCGGCAGCCAATGGAGTGGAATGGGGTCGTCCCTCGACCTACGCTAGGAGCTGGTGGCTCAAGCCTCGGCTGGGCTCCGCCGGCCGAGGCCGCTCCTCTTTGTATCGTATCTTTCTATAATAAATATTCATATAACCAAGTTCAATGTTCATACCGCTATACCCATCGGATGAAGGTCTAAGGTCCCCTTCAATCTGATATCGGCCAAATATCTTCATCTCAGAATGCGCCATTCATTCGGCTCCTTCGCAGAGGTAGTGGGATGGTGCAACTTCTGAGTAAGGTCTGTCCACGTGAGCAGTTCAGCTCATAGGGTTAGAAAAAAGTTGAAAAATAACTCACGGTCTCTTGCAGAGGAAGATGTTGTAGGTTGATATGGAGGTGATGCCAATCGGCTCCGAATGAACTATTTCCTGCTACCCTTGGCAAAAAGTAATCTTCAAAGTAACTGGAAGTGGTATGGCGTCAGAGGGGAGGGTTTTTCATGTCGTTCGAAAGGGGTCGCGTAGCAGGCCTAGGGATAAAATGAAAATCCCTGCTAGAAAGTAGAAACCTTCAATTCCCTCACTGCTTTTTGCTTTACAAATGGCCTTCTATGAAGATTGTTGTAGCTGTTCAAAGCGTAAGAGCTCGTAATTGACCCCCAAAAGTCACAGCGGGATCACAACGAAGAAATTTCTCGAAAAGAGGTTTTTGGAATCGCTCAGTCTCAGGTAATAGCTGTCACCGGGTGCCTCACAGCTCTGCTTTCAAAATTCAAAATCAAAATTCAAAATCTCCACTTTCAAAGAAGTTATGGGTGTTCAGCGAAGGGTACTTCCCAAGTGTTTGGCTTGGACCTGGATTCGGATCGTGAAATAGCTCGCTCTAATGTCACGACACAAAGCGTGCTCTAAATCAACTCTCAACTTTGGGTGGCCGCAAACAATATATACCATTTTCACTTTGAATTCACCACTTTTCAAAGCCAACTCACCACTTTTCGAAGCAAATTGACCACTTTTCTTCTCAAATTCACCACTCTCTTCAGACCGGGCAGTTCATCCACCAGATTACGCCAGACGCCACTGCGAACCTTGCCTCGGGGGTCACGAACAACGCGGACATAGATCTTCAACACATTTCTGCCTTAACGCCCCAGTCTTTTGAAGGCGTTTGTTGCGAACTTCGAGATTTCACTAACTTTTTCAACATTTTAACACGTTGACCGACCAACCGCGCGTTTTGACTTTTGCCTGCGGCCGCGGGACACGCGCACCTTTTCTTTCGAGACGCGACACGCCGGCCGCGAGCCACATGCAATTCCACGCAGGCTCCCACGAGGCGCAATTAGCAAAGAGTATAAAGGCTAAGTCAACCAGAATACCTAAGTAGCATATAAAGAGTCACAAAGGCCAGAACTTCGCGTCAAGGACGATGCCTTATTCAGGCGCAGAAAAATGGTTCAGCAAATTTCTGATTGCGTTGAGGGATACTTTGCGGACTTCGAACCAACTAACTAATCACATCGGACGATGAAAGAACATGGACAAAACAAGTTGAAGAGAGACGAAGTAGATGATTGGATTACAGTGCGGAAATGTTCGGAATCAGAGTCAAGAAGATGAAGACAGAGTTTGATAGAGAGAGTGTTTCAATCGTGGTCCAGGTAACGGCTTCGGTCACATCACCCGCTTGGACATTTATGACTAGGTATTCTGTCTTCACGGAACTCTGTTATGATTGTTCGTGAACCTATGATTTCTAACGAACTTTTTTGAACTAATGATGTTAACGGATCTGATTACCGATTGAGACCAACCAGCTACGAAGGCAACAGAACAAGCGGATTTCAAGAAAACTGAGATTCCGAACGCAACACAGAAATTCATTGGTTTGTGGCTGCAAAGTGGATTGGTGAAAATGACCGAGTCTACGAGATTAAAACCTCTTGGATGTGTTGCGCCCCAGCTCTTGGGTGCTCAGATCCAGTGGCTGGCAAGAATTATGGCACGAAGTCGTTTTGAAGAGCCCCTAACGTATCTTCATTTAGCGGATAATGATGTCTTCGGACGGCGACCGATTGCAATTAAGATCAGGAATTTGTGGAATTGCTTCAACGACTGCGTCCGGCGCAGTGGTATCCATGGGAGAAAAGCTGTGCATTGACGACTTCTCCTCGTTCACTTCCGAGGCAAGGATTATTTTCCGACAATCACATTCTTCAACGTCCATAGATACGGCATCAAGCTGTCAAGACTGTGTGGTCAAGACGGTTATACTGGACGGGTAAAAATCTATGCCGGAAGCAGATTCATCACACAGAGGGTTCATTTGCTGACACAGTTTGTCTTAGAGGCTTGATGGAAGTGCAATACCTTCGATGACGGTTACGGCGAACACTGTGCACGGCACACGAACCCTACTCCAGCGTTGGACTTGACGGAAAGGCTGATTTCACGAAGAACTCATCTCGTGGAACTTTGAGAAAAAACGGAAAGGAATCCTAATGGAAGTAAAGATAAGAAAACTGCAAAAGAGCAATTGTACTACCGAATGAAAGGCGAAAAGGAACGGCATTTTCGCTGCTCAAGTGGAAAGATAAGAGGACTTTGTACAATGATTCCACGCAAACACACGATGCCGCACTTGATTGGACTCACAAAGCCTGAAGTTGTGGAGCACGTACAACGAGATGAAAGTCATTTGTTGCATCATCTGACCAAATGGCATGCTTACACACCATTTTGTACGCAAAACATCGAAATGACTGTACAAGAGAATACTTCTTCTTTTGATGCACCGCAAACAGCAGTGGTGAATGTTTGGACAGCTATACAAGGATGTATAATAGGCGAAAGTGCGACTCGAATACTTCAAAATGGACTGGTGAGTCGCTGCTGACCGCGGGCGTGGAGCAATGTTCCAGATGGCCCCTTCCTACAAGACACGAGCTTAGAAAAAGTCGAATGAGAAGGCGATGATCCGATGTTACTCCACAATTTCAGAAGAAGCAGGGGACGGTGCTGATTAGCTATGAAAAAACACTAGCGCAACTGTAAACACTTTGTTGCCACTAGCTGGCCAAAATTTTCTGTATCCAATGTTTCATAAGAAAACGAAATCGCGCACTTCTATAGACAGCGATCTTTCACTATTTGTATTTTGTATCGAGTATTTGTCTTTGTATTTTGTGTCAGTATTTTGTCTGTTATTTGTGAGAAAAACTTGAAGATAAACCGATCAAGCAAAAGCGAGTGTTCTGTCCCACGGAGACTTTGCCTAAAATAAGTAATTATAAACTATTCCATGGAGCAAGGTACGAGTTGTGCGAGTACACTGAGGGGATTGAAACTTTAGTATGGAATATGGAAAGTAAACAAAAAACCATGCCAGGCTGAAAGATATGCGATTTGTTGATCGTGAGCCGAATTACATATGCACGGCGGTCCCACATTGGGCTACAAACGCAGTGCATTACAATGTGTCTCAACGCGGTCGTCAATGTGCCTTATTTCACGTCCACTCTTTGCACAGCGAAGATACTCGTAACCGCGCATCATGCTTCGGCAATTCAGGCTCCACATCCCTGGCCACGCCCACTTGCTTTGCGTTATTTTGATATTTTTCCAAAATTTTTGCATTTTTGGACTGCTCTACGAAGCCCCGCCCACTGAGTTAAGCTCCGCCTACTTTGAAAAAGCCCGCCCTTTATTCAAAAGTTGCAGATCGGCAGTATAGAGCCCTGGCTTGCATACTAGGGCCTCGTCCGTCACTCGGAACAAATTAATCAGGCAAATGGCATACAGTGTGCAAACAAGTCCTGGGTGAGACGCGAGGTGGGATCAGAGGAGACAAGGCAGCTCTGGAACAAGGAAGTATAGGGCATCGTTAAACAGAAGAAGGAAGCATACAAACGCTGGCAAAAGACAAGGAGCCCAGAAGACTTTGCTGCCTACAAGAACTGCAAGTGACCTGACTCCATAAGAGCCGTTGCTAAGGCAAATAATACGGAGATGGACGCTCTGCACGAGAAGCTGGAGGGCCGAGAAGGGGACAAGTTCGTCTTCCGCATGAACGAAGAATCCCTCCGCGAGGATATTTCGCAGGTAGAGGCGACGGCAGGCCCTATCCCTGGACACAGGATGAGGGCCGCCGAGAGCTAGGAACGATGAAGGTTGGGAAGGCAACACGGGTCCAGGCGGTTTCCTATAGAGGCATGGAGGTCCCACGGAGTGATTTGGCTCACACACTTTCCTAACATCGTAACGGCTGAAGGAAGGAGGATGCATGGAGGAGCAGCACAATCGTCCCCATGTTCAAACAGAAAGACGACACGGCGGAATGCTCCAAATAATGGCTTCAAGTTGACTCCCCATACCGTGAAGCTGTACGAGCGCCTAGTCAACACAAAGTTGAGGGAACGTTGCTA